CCTTTTAGAGGGGACTGACGACTGCTTCGGTTTTTCAAAGTGTCCTTTTCTCCTTTCTCAGCCATTTCCAACAGTCGAGGGGAGTTCCTGCTGAATGGAGACTTCGTCGTCAGCATGTTTAAAAGGGAAATAAAGGTGGGGGGTGCGGTTTTGGAGTACAGTGGCTCAGATCATGTGGTTGAGAGGATCAACTGCACCGACAAGACTGAGGAGGAGATTGTTGTCCAGGTAACACTTCACTCTGCACTATAAGGTCGATTTTTCTAGAAAAGTCCAGACACGTGATATTGCTTCACTGCATTTTTATGCAACCACCTGTGTTTATATTCATTAGGATTTGCAAGAATTACATGCATATTCAATCTGTAAACAAGCATAAAACCTGATTTTGAAGGTTTGGCCTTCAGAATGCTTTGTGGCTGGATGATGATGGATATCCTCCTGTGACTTCCGCAGGTGCTCTCTGTGGGTAAGCTGCACAACCCAGATATCAGGTACAGCTACAACGTCCCCGTCGAGGACAGGTTCTCCTGGGATGCCTACGGCCCGTGGCTGGAGTGCAGCCAGCTCTGCCAAGGTTTGACCAAAAAAACACCCGGAGGTTCCGGCTTTCATCCTCCTCTATACAGCGCTCACAGAAAGTCTTGGGACGCTTGCTTAATTCTGTAATAATGTTGCAAATGTATTGTTTTCATAACTAATGTCTATTGAAAAGCAATGTTTAACGTATCTGCACATAAATTCCACACAGACATTTTCTTTTTATTGAGCATAATATTTTTTTTGACTGAGTCATTCAATTCTGTTCTTGCTATTTTGTTATTAATTGCAATCGTCGTCACTGGCTCCCAAATGGATACTAAACACAAATATTTGGTGTTTGATGTTATTGCAAAGGTGTTACTAATTAAAAAACACCCAGTGAGACTGCTTGTCAATGAACTTTTTTAACTCATAACAGCTCTTTTAGAACTATAATTTGAGTTTCAGTTTATTACTCTTAAAATTAATGTTTTACTTTAAAACTTCCAGCTGTTTCTAATGTGACATATATTTTTTAAACAAATGAAAGAAGTGATGATTTTTGTTTTTAAACCAATACATTTGCAAACATTTTTACTGAATGAAGTAAGAGTCCCAAGGCTTTCTGTGTGCTCTGTACGTAACATGAGGAGGAAACAATGCAAAGTAATGTGAGAAAACAATGCAAGACAATAAGTGCAGGAGCTGAAGATAGCAGTGAAAAAGAAACAAGAGAAAATAGCATCATAGTAGGGAAGCAAGCAGTTAGCAAACAGAAGTGCAATGGGAGATAAAACCTGCCTTGTAGTGAAGTCAAACTGTCCGCTGCGAACACTGTCTCTCAGTCTCACACTGTCTCACACTGTCTCTCAGTCTCACACTGTCTCTCAGTCTCACACTGTCTCACACTGTCTCTCAGTCTCACACTTTCTCACACTGTCCCTCAGTCTCACACTGTCTCTCAGTCTCACTTTGTCTCTCAGTCACACACTGTCTCACACTGTCCCTCGGTCTCACACTGTCTCTCAGTCGCACACTGTCTCTCAATCTCACACTGTCCCTCAGTCTCACACTGTCCCTCAGTCTCATACTGTCTCTCAATGTCTGATTCTGAATTGTGCCACTACACTGGAGACTAATCTGTGTTCGCTTTGTCCAACCTGTTCAGGGAATCGGCAGAGGAGGATCGTGTGCAATCGGGAGTCGGACCGCATGGAGGTGTCGGACCAGCGGTGTTATGGGTCGCCGCTGCCCACCACCATCACAGAGCCCTGCAACACAGAGTGTGAGCTCAGGTGAGCCCATTGTTGGCCTCTGCAACTTAGGTCAACACCACCAAAGGTCTCCCCTGCATCGCCCCCCGTGATTCCTGGGGTGGCCCATGACCCTGCTCTAGAGCAGTGGTTAGAAGATAGATGGATATGAGATGGACCAATGAGGCTATGCACTGGGTTTCTGCTCCTGCTTTTCCTTAACATTACGTTATTTCTCACGTGACCTTCTTGTGCTTCTCACCAAATGGAATATAGGCCTTATTTTTGCCCCATCCAACATTTAAAGTGATGGAAAAATTCAGCAAATCAAAGTTAAGTAAACATTAGAGTTGAACCTACAAGGAGAGACTGTGGTTTTTGAGCGGAACGGACAGCCGCCTCTACGTCAGTACAGCTCATCAGTGCAGACAGCAGGGTGCTCGTGACTGTGTGACATGTGTGAGGACCCTGAAACAACAACATGCAGGCGCAAACGCAGATGGCGAAAATCATTTCAGTATGCCCGAAAACCCTCACGCAACTGGTAAAGAATTAATCAAAATAAGGATTATTTTTAAAGTGAGTGCTTTTGGGCGTCTCCCGTTTTCGTACTGGTCATAATCACCGATCGTGCCACGCTTGTCACTGAACTGAGATGCTGGCACTTCTTGCTGTGACAGTTTAAGATGTTCCTCTGTGTCATTTCTGTCTCGCCAGGTGGCACGTGGCACGGAAGGGGGAGTGCTCAGCACAGTGCGGCCCTGGATTCCGCATCCTGGAGATCTACTGCACCAAGCACAGTGACGGGGAGACCAAGAAGGTGGAAGAGCGCTACTGTAGCAACCAGCACAAACCGGGGAACAAGGAGCACTGCATGGGCGACTGCACCCCCGTGGCCTGGGAGTACTCCCCGTGGACAGAGGTGACACGGGGGGCGGGGGTGGTCTTATCAAACAGTGTGTTGTGTATCTAGGACTCAAATCTTATTTCTGTTTCTTTCTGCAGTGCTCCAAAACCTGTGGTGGGGGGACACGGCGCCGAGTGGCAGTGTGCGGGAAATCCACCGGTGTCCTTCAAGACGAGAGCAAGTGCAGCCAACAGGACAAACTAACTGTTGAGCCTTGCAACGAGTTCCTCTGCCCTCAGTGGAAGACGGGAGAGTGGTCTGAGGTGAGGAGCAGCAGCTGTGTGCTTTCTCATGGCCGTAGGGATATGTCCTCATATCACTAGAAGGACTGGTGTGATGATTACTAACATGAATCGGCTCGAGCACAGATACACAAACAGCCCTCTGACTGAATTGCAACTCTTTCAAAAAAAGGACTGAGGGAAAGCTGTGAAATGTGGAGGAGAGGAGATCGACTCGGTTGCACCACAACCAAGATCTTCTGGGAGACCCTCTGACATGCATTCTTTGGATGCTTCTGATAAGAGTCTGTGTTGGTTTCTGTTGAACTATGTCATGTATTGTATGCCTGTCCACAGTGCCTGGTGACCTGCGGGAAAGGGTCTAAGCACCGACAGACGTGGTGTCAGTTTGGGGAAGAACATCTGGACGACCAGTTCTGCGACGATTCCAAGCCGGAGTCGGTCCAGGCCTGTCAGCAGCAGGAATGTGCTTCCTGGCAGATTGGACCCTGGGGACAGGTCAGCACCCACATCCTGCCTTCTGTGCTTCCATGACAGGTCAATAATCCCAACTGTTAGAGTCTCTGTGAGTCCGGGACTACACCGGCTTGCTGAAAATACTGACTGTGAGCGACTGATACCATAATACCAGTCCGTAATCTCTCCATCAATCATCCCTGCTGAAGAGGCTGCATGCACAACCTGACAGTGTAGTTCAGTGTGTTTGTAAAGCATTTTAACCGAAGTTAGGGTGCCACAGCATGACTGAAGTGAAAGGCAGATCCCCTTATCCCCAAATCTACACCCAAACCTTGGCTGTGTTGAGGTCATTGACTAAAAAGAGAACCCCTATTACAGTAAGGGTGGACCCATTATTATAGGTGATATTCTGCAGTTGGGAGATTGGCATCTGTGACTGTTTCCCTTTTTCTGTAGCCTGCATGTCACCGCAGAGATTCATTCACACCGCTGCTGTTACCGTCAGCCATCATGCAGTCATGCTAGAAAGCCGCATTATGCGTTGTATGCACAGCTCCGGAACCTCGCCATTTGGTTCCATTAGCAAAATGCTAAAAAACACAGCTTGGCTGGGCAGCATCGATTTTTTGCATGAAAGGTTCACATAAACAGCCGATATCTCGCAAGGAAAAGGGCCACGCAGCACAAATCACGAGGCCTGAAAGGGAACATTGCGATTGAATCAGTTGAGTGCTTTATCTTCAATACGGTGCCAAGTATGGTAAGTACAAAAGCATGACAGAGATTATACATTCCCTTACCATAGAATAGGCAATCACCTTAAATGTATATTTGAAGGCATTAAATGAACCATGTGCAATTTCAGCTGAAGCAGTGCCTTTCAGGTTTGACCTCATTTCACTCAAGTCGCTGGAGTAGAAAAAAGGACTATGTGGTTACTGGGCCAGGGGGCCCAGCGGAAACTCAGTAAATTACTTATGCATTGTGATTTAAGACTATTATCTTTTAGCTGTCATTATACGACCCGCGGGGTGCAGTGTTTTCTGATTACGTTGTGTCCCACAATTCAGTGCAGCACCACGTGTGGCCCGGGCTACCAGCAGAGGGTGGTGAAGTGTGTGGTGGGATCGTACGGGTCTGTCATGGACGACATCGACTGTAACGCAGCGACCAGACCCACTGGCACTCAGGTAGGCCTGTACATGTAGTTCATATCTCACTTTGTTCCCCTTAGGGCAGACCTGTGATTCTCTCTGGGTCAAATATACAAATATTCTGGTAAGTAAGGCTGCACTGAGGGGTCTGTAAATGGCTTGTAAACAGTAAACTGGTTTATTAGATGGAGCCATCCGCACATTCCAGCTGCTTATGGAAGATGGAGTGCCCTGCATAGTCAGTGGTATTATAGGTCTTCTTTAGACAATTTTGAGGTCAATGATATCTCAGGTCTTCTTTAGACCATGTTGAGGTCAGTGATATCTCAGGTCTTCTTTAGACCATGTTGAGGTCAGTGATATCTCAGGTCTTCTTTAGACCATGTTGAGGTCAGTGATATCTCAGGTCTTCTTTAGACCATGTTGAGGTCAGTGATATCTCAGGTCTTCTTTAGACCATGTTGAGGTCAGTGATATCTCAGGTCTTCTTTAGACCATGTTGAGGTCAGTGATATCTCAGGTCTTATGCAAGATTTGTTTATTAGAGCATACTGCTCAGCTTGGCCTAATGCATTTTGTGTTTATGTGTACACTTGTGTGTTGTTATGACCAAGTTTATTTCAGCTTAATTTGAGATCATGACATAATGACAAGGGACAATTTAACAGGAGGCCACGCAGTGCTAGAATGGCAGGGATAGAGCAATATAAGACAGAGGCTGAGCAGAGGGACCCCCCCCCCAGGTTTAATTCATACATTACCTTAGCAGCACTCGGAACTTCTTAGCAGCACATAAGCTCAATGACCCTTACAGGCCACTTCACCTCCGGGTGATTCCAGCCGGTAATAGGGTCGCCCCACATCGCCCGTTGGGCTCCAACTTGGATAGAGGAACGGAGCGTTTCCTGGACACTCCCTCTGAGGATAGGAAGCAGGAGAAGAAAGGGAAACCCCTGAAAGGCACTAAGCAGTCAGACCATGCTAGCTGTTTGAAAGGCAGGGGGAGCTTGGCGCTCTGCATTGATGCACGCTCATGGCATGCTGAACTGGACCTTGACTGCTCATGGAATGCTGAACTGGACCTTGACCGCTCATGGCATGCTGAACTGGACCTTGACTGCTCATGGAATGCTGAACTGGAC